GGGCCTCTTTCTTCATGGTCTTTTACCAAGGTTTGAATGTTTTTTCAAGTGGCTTAGGTGTGTCCTGGATCTTTTTCCTCTTAACTGCAGACCAAGAAGTTATTCTTTTGGTCTCTCTCTGTTCTGCTTTCCTTTTCACAAAGGATTTCCAGGTTGGATGAGGCTTTGAGCAACCTGGTCTAGTGGAAGGTGTCGCTGCTGATGGCAGGGGGGTTGGGACTGGATGAGCTTTAAGGTCCCTTCCAACCCAAACCAGTCTGGGATTCTATGATTTCAGCTTTGCCTCAGTGTTAGGTAAGAAACAGCGAATGAAAATGGAAAGATTTGGCATAAGCACACCTCGAATTTGTCTTGAAATCATATTTTTTGGTATAAACCAGCTTTTTTCACGCGTTAAGTACAAAAGATTTGAAGCTGAATGTCAGGAAACATACTACTGCTGAGATCTCTCTCTCAGGCAGGAGTCATCTAACTCCAAATTCTATAGACATGAGCCTGCTCGTGTAAACGTAACAGGAGTTGTCTGTCCTCCCTTAAAACATCCAAGCAAAATAAAATGGCTTCATTCTGCACCTGGCTGCGAGTGAAACGTGTTTGTTTGAGAGCTCTGGAGACCAGGGAGCAGAGCAGGGGGTAGATAGATCTTCCTAGTGCTGCCTTTCCAAATAGACCAGGATGGTTCAACCTCTTTCCCCTTTCTCCAGAGCTCAGAAACCAGCCGGGACTTTGGGTGACTGTGGTTTGTTTTGAATAACTAAAATAAAGCTGAAATCTTTGTCCAAGCACTCTGTTCCACGGAGGGAGGTGGAGGAAAAGGGTGTGTGGGGGGGACAGAGAGCAGCCCAGATGCTTGATGGATAAAGCCAGCTCTGAGATTGTCCCCAGCCCGGGGAGGGGGTTGAAGTCCCCTCCTCACACTGGAGCTGTGTCTGTGGCCGCAGTGCAGCAGCTCGGCTCTGCGCCGCTGCCTCCAGCGTGGAAATCTGCTCCGTGTCGAGCAGCAGCCGCTGGGAACCACGGCTGGGCCTTATCCACCCCCAGCCCTTTCCACCTCACAGACCCTGAGGTGAAACCAGGCCTTGTCCCTGTCGCAGGGATGAGTGCTGAGGGGACAGGGGACGGCTGGCCAGCGGGTGCCAGCCCCGTGCCTGTGTGGGAGCAGACATCTTGAGAACACACCGAGGCGGGGCAGGTCCCTGCACGGGGGTGACACTGGTGCTGTGGTGTCAACACCTTTAACAGAAACAGGGAAACATCTGCTGAAGGGAGCAGACCCCCAGTGTCTGGGGACTGTGGAGAGGTTGCTGCCTGCCCTACCCTTCAGGCACTGGTATATTTGTCCCGCCCTTTGACAAGCTCTTTCTCAAAGTGCTTCTGGCCTTGGATTTCCATCTTCTCTGCCCAGCACTTACCACAATAAAATGAGGGATCTGCAGTGTTGCACTGCTCTGTAGCCTCTCTCTATTTCCCTTTCCACACCTACCTGCTCCACACCACCTCTAGTTTTAGCAACTCCCCTCTGAGCTCATCTTGGGCAGACTCTACCCTTAGGCTCTTTGATCCACTCACCACCTGAGGAAGCTGCTGAATCCAGCTGAGCATCCGTAGGTGCCTTAAAAACAAATCCCATCTCCAAGCAATAACCACGACACTTAACTTCCAACTAAAATCCTTTTGGCTGCAGCTGAACAAAAGATCTCATCCCCCCAGGCTGTTTTGGAGTTTATTTGCTGGTTGTAGTCAGAGCTGTAACAGCACCTTCTTGGGAATCTCCTCTACCATGGCGTGCTGGGCTCTGGCCCCCTTCTCCATCAGCCACGTGGTGCTGGAGGAGGAGGAGGAGGATGGAGGGGAGGAAGGAACTGCCAGAAGAATTCCAGAGTGAAACAGGATCTTTCAGCTTCCTGCTGCAGCTGGGGGATTAGCTGCTGGCGGTGGGTCTGACATTGTTGTGTTGCACCCCAGCTGAGGTGGTGCCAGGCAGCCTGGCCTCCTCCTCGGCGAGTCCGCGGGCGACCGGCAGCCTCGCTGTTCCGGGTTCGCCTCCGTCTGGCGTCTGATTATAAAGATGCTGTCAGTGTATTTCAGGAATTGAGGAGGGAAAAGCCTCTCCTGATGCCTGTTCATATGGCTCTGGTTTAATGGGCTGTTCCCAGGTGGTTGTTGGGGTTTTTTTTTCCCCCACCTCTTTGAATAAGGCAATAAAACTTCATCCTTGGGGGGATCTGGGTGTTCTCTGGCATTGAATAAAGAATCCATGGGGGAAGCACTGCCTGGCTGTGGGAATATCCCCACCACCTCCTCAGCTGCTGGTCCATACAGGGCTGGGAACTTCTCGCTTCATTTAACACTCAGAGTGGGTTTTGTTTTCACCTTTGGTGGACAGTGGAGCTCTGCAAGCACAGGGCAGCATGTGCAGCAGCAGAATGAGCTCCTCTCTCCTTCCCTCTCTGCTCTGCAGCCCGTTCAGGTGCCGACCCCTCTTCTGAGACCACCAGTTGACAAAAAAACAGGGGAGATAACTAGTGCTGAACGTGAGGAGAAGGCTTATGATGCAAAGCCTGGGTTCTGGGACCTCCCAACTTGCTCAGTGACCACCAAACATCCCAAGATGCCAACAATCACTTTGGTGTGGCCTTTATGGCCAGTCCTCTGCCTGGCTCATGAGCAGCCCCAGCTCTGGATTTAGGGGGAAGGTGTTTGTTCCTCATTTTACCCCAACGTTACCAGGCTGTGGTCACCTCGTGGCTGCTCCCTGCAGGGATGGGGTGTAAAGGGAAGATGTCTGTCCAGCAGCAGCATGGCCAGAGGCTGAGCACCCTGCAGAGCCAGAGCCCAGGCACTGGCACAGTTTATACACCAAGGTCAGGTTGAAACCAGCGCACCAACGGGGTCCAAAGTGTGAACACACTGCTCTGGTGCCTGCCAAGCAGAGAGGTGCTGCTTTCTCCCTCTGTGCCCTTCCATGCTCCTCAGCTGCCCTCAGTCCTTGTCTGTGAGAGAGCAGCAGAGACTGGGTGATCCCTCCCATCCTCTCCAGCGTGTCTTCTGCTGGTCTGAACTGGTGGTACCTCTTCTCAGCTTTGTGGGGCCTGTTTTTAAGCCTTCCCCTTGGCAGGATACTCGGCAGAGGCTCAGCTCAGCAGCACCTCGTGCAGCAGGGAGCTCATCCAGCTGTACCCCGAGAGCTGAGACTGTTGCTGACCTCTGACAGCCGGTGTCAATCTGCAGGATTTTTGCTTTGCCCTATAAACCAGCCTCACTTTACCTAGATTTTGTCAACTGAAATTTATTCTAGAAGATTCCTGATAACCTGAGTGGCAAAACCAAAGTTTCCAGGGAGGTAATGTTTGACCTGCTCACCAGTCATTTTGCTTGGCAGAAAATATATATTTTACTGGAATTAATAAAGAAATTCTGTTCCTCCCAAGGGCTGTGGAAGCTCCCTGGGCAGCAGCTCAGCAGGGTGGGGAAGGTTTGGGGAGGATGAGGTCCAGGGTTGGTTTCAGACAGTCTGGATCTTATTGCCAGTGGCTCTGGGTGATGGCGTAGCTGCTTATCAGAGAAAACAGACAGAGAGACTTGGAACCTCCTGACCCTTTGGTTGGTCCAAATCACTGCAACTTGCTCAGCTGGCCATGCAGAATTATTTGGAGAGGCTGGTGATGAGGTCAGGGTACTTGAGGGCTCTATATTTTTCTTGAACTTCAGGAAAAAATAACCCTTCCCACATCCCCTTCCCACATGGGCAGCTGCTCCCTTGGTGTCTCCCCTCACGGGGCTGTGTGGTGGCTCAAGATCTCAGCTCTGGAGCTGGGACCTGTCAGTGTAAGTGGTACCAGCCAAGAAGTGGCTGAGGAGCTTTTGCAAGGACTGGGGGGCTGTTTTTAGCAGAACCACAGAGCAGGATGAGGTGGACACCCATCCCCAGCAGCAGTGGGGAGAGACTCTGACCCTGGATCTGCCCGGCTGCGGTGCTCCTCCTGCTCCTAGCTGGGTTTCAGAGGGAAGTGGGGCCTCTCTGTGGTTTTTGGCTCTCTCAGGTGTTTTATTTCAGCCTGGGGGAAGCACCCAGCGTGTGTTGGCAGGGCTGTTCCTCCTCTGTGGTCCCTTTGGGTGAGTGGAGAGCAGAGTACTGCGCTGAGAGACGCCCTGTCACGCGTCACCTGTGTGTTACGGGCAGGTAACCTTGGGCTGTGTGGTGCTGGAGAGTTCTCCTGGCTCCGTGTGGCTTCTGCCACTTCCCACCAAGCACTGGATATAGATGCAGGAATTTTTAACTAAAAAGCTCTGAAAGATAAGGGGAAAAAAACCCAACAAACCCCACAACATTTTCTAGATTGGTTAATTTAGATCAATATCTCAGCGTGCACATCCACGAGCCAGCGAAGAGGTGAATCTAGAGAGCTTGGAATCAGGGACTGTGCCTCGTATTTAACTTGGATTAACCATTTATTAACTTGTAGTTAACGTCAGCTCTGTGCTCTCTCCCTCCTGCTGCTGTACAGCTCTGCAGATGCTCTCTGCAGCTCCAGGCAGGGTCCAGCTGAGCTGAAGGACGGGTCAGCGAGGTGAGGAAAGGGGAGAGGACAGGTTGAGGGGATGTGCTGGACTGGGCAGAGGAAGGACAAGGTGTGGAGCAGCAGCTGATGTAGGATGCTGCTTCATTTCTGGAGGTTGGTGATGAGAACAGGGACAAAGTCTGGGTGGAATCAGGATGGATTTGGTGAATTAAGTTGCTGGGAGACAAAAAGGCCAAAGCTCTGTGTTAAAAAGGTTTTTTTGTCGTGTAAACGCAGCAGCTCCCGCTGGAGACTCCCATTTCCCTTTCCACCTGGCAGGACCATCCTGGCCCATCTCTTCATGTGTTACCTACTTTGTTTGTGCCTTTTCTCTCCACAGCAGCATCCCTGCTCCCTGCTTTGCGTGTCCACTGTTTGCTGCCTGGCAAAAGCAAACCCGACCTCGGCACAAACGGGTGGTTCTCGCTCTTCTTTTATAGCAGCGTCGCCCGTAAGCTGAAAAGCTGGCCAGCACAATGGGAAAAAAACAGAACAAGAAGAAAGTGGAAGAGGTCTTAGAGGAAGAGGAGGAGGAATATGTGGTGGAGAAGGTCCTGGATCGGCGAGTGGTAAAAGGCAAAGTGGAATATCTGCTGAAGTGGAAAGGCTTCTCGGAGTAAGTGCCTCCCGGGGGGCTGCTGCTGTGGGGTGGGTGCTGAGCTGCTCCAGCACAAGCATCTCTTCTGCCTTTGGCTCCTGAAGCCTCTCCAGGCAGGTGACTCCGTCTCCTTGTGCCTCTCCTTGTCTGCACAATGGAGCTAACGGGCCAAGGGCAGCTGGGATGATAAAACTGCAGCGCTAAATGCCTCGAGCTCTAATCGGGGCGACGAGAGCACAGCTGAGGTGAGAAAGTCCCATTTCTGTCTCACAAACAGGCTGTGCAGTGCCCTGGTGGGGCTTCCCCACCTCAAACCTAGCGTGAAACAACCAGCCAGATAAATTCAATTGCATTTCTCTCCTGAGAAGGGAAATAACTGCCCTGCCTGCTGCCTGGATCAGCACAGGGTCCTGTTTCACAGAGCGAGGACACCTGCATCCAGACTGCATCTGCACACAACCTGGTGTCCAGGACTTTTCGTGGCAGGGAAAGCTGCAGCAAGCTCTACCCATGTGTAAAAACTCAGTTTGTTGTTTTTGATTGCAGTGAAGATAACACATGGGAACCAGAGGAGAACCTCGACTGCCCAGACCTCATTGCAGAGTTCCTTCAGTCCCAGAAAACCGCACACGAGAGCGAGAAGTCTGAGGGAAGCAAACGCAAAGCGGAGTCTGACACGGAGGATAAAGGGGAGGAAAGCAAACCAAAGAAGAAGAAGGAGGAGGTGAGGCAGGGTGGGGTTTCTGTGCTCACCTCCTTACCCCTGCGTTTGGCACCGTGTCTGGCAGCTTAGAGCAGCCACGTTCCAAAACCTCAGTCACGCTCTTCTCCTTCCTGGAGGGGAAACTGTCACCCAGGGCTGAAGTGCTTTTGAAAAGCTGTAGCTCTCAAGGAGGCGTGAGCTTTTGTTTAAGCCATGTTTCTTAGTCAATCCAGAGCCAGTTCTAGCACTGAATTGAAAGGCCAGTTCTTGAACCAAAAGGCTACAGAACCCCAACTTCTCTGGAGGAGCTACCCAAGGGGTGAAACGGGGGACAGGGGTTGCCTGTTGCCCCTTCAAGAGGAGGAATGAGGTGGAACAGAGAGAGCCTGCTGCTCAGGGTGCTGGGAAAAAGGGACAGTAAAAGGCTCTGCAGTTTGGTTTTCATCCCAGAAGCTGCTGAATCTTGACCAGTAGAAGAATTTGACCAGCAGGACCTTGGAAATCAGGTCCTCTGCTTGCAGCATGAGCAGGCTGCTCCGCTGTGCTCTCCTGGCTCACCTCAGTGCACTGGTTTTACACCTGAGCGGGCATCCCAGTTCCCTGAGTCATTGTAGTCTGAGTATCAGATAGGCAGAGCCTTTCTGAACAGCCACCAGTGTGTCCTGGTGACCAGAGACTGGGCTGTGGCTGTCACCCAGTGATGCTACAAAATGGAAACTCATCTCTTTTCCAGTCGGAGAAACCGCGAGGCTTCGCTCGGGGATTTGAGCCAGAACGAATCATCGGTGCCACGGATTCCAGCGGGGAGCTCATGTTCCTGATGAAGTGGTGAGTCTGTCTTTGTGTCTGTCACTTCTTCACTTATTCTGTGCCAGAGAGGGAAGGACCTGCACCTGGGGAGTCCCTGCTACCTGGCATGAAATCTCTGGCGATGGCGCTGCTGCCTGAGGTGACCCTCTGCGCTGAGGCTAACGTGGATGTGAAACGAGCAGGTAGGGCCCTTGGGATTGTGTGTGGCTCTTAAGATGTCCCCCCACAGCAGGCGCGAGCTTAGGGACAGAGAGGGGCACGGTGTCATGGTGTGGGCTGCAGTTTGGGAAGGCTGCACCCAGAGGAGAGCTGTGACCATGACCGCGTCCCCTTCGGCTGTAGTGACACAGGGCTTGTCACTGGTGCAGGTGGGAACCAAACCAGTCAGGTGTGGGAGCCGTTTGCTTTTGCACCGTCTCAGAAGTACAGAGTGGCTGAGGGCAGGGCTGCAGCTTTGATTCTGGAGCCCCCAACACAAGAAGGACATGGAGCAGTTAGAACCAGTCCAGAGGAGGCCGTGAGGATGATGCGAGGGCTGGAGCAGCTCTGCTGTGAGGACAGGCTGAG